CCTATGAAACATATATCACATTGTTGTCACAAGTGCTGCTTTGGCACTTGAATCATTCCAAGTAGACTTTCTTCTTTCTGTTGCTGAAACAGCTTCTCTGTTCCAGGATTCATCATGCAAATGATGTTTTGGCCTCAAGCTCTTACTCCATGAGAGTACACAATCTTAGCAGTCAAATGATGAAAGAAAAATCCAAGCAATGGATTGCTTACGAGGGGGAAGCAAGTCGTCATTATAGTCAACGTAAGAGCTTTTTCTAGTTATGGAAAGGAAAATAATGGTTCAAAACTATTGCATGGATGACATGAGATTTCCTCCTCTGCTTTCTTTAATCAAGAACTGCCCAATATAGTCTTCAATCATCCGACTAATTGCTGCACAAGTGTTCACACCCATGAAGACTGCTTGTGGTTGGTGGAAGAAGAAAAGAAGCACCAATACCAGCAAAGCTTCTTCCTTTTCATGGCAAGGTGAAGACCACACCTTCATTCTCAGTTGCAGAAAAGCTTAAACTGGCACATTAAGCATGTGCCAACATCTTCGTGGCACAATCTATCCCCTCTGAATCCTCTTTTTGACATGATCAATTCCAAGACACAGAAATCTTATTGTTTTGATCACATATGTGGAAAATGGACTAAGTCCGAAGGAATTTGAAGTTTGCATGCATGCATGCTCAGTTTGACATTATTTGCTTGCTCTCCATTACCATCAGACCTAACTTTCTTCTTGGAAGAGGAAATTAGACTCGATTACCTCTGATAACTAGCCATGGATCGCGTGATAGTTCATGGACATTGCTGTTCGCTAAACCTTCACTGCATGCAAATCCACAGAGCAAAACTTGATTGGTGAAGAAGCTTTCAGAAGTTAGGCAGGCATGGAAGTTCCCCTGCGGGATGTGCCCCTCTTTATCACCGAGAAGAAGTCGTGGAAATGGTGAAGGAAGTCATGCGTGGCTGCTAGCTTGATCAAGAAAGGAGGGTTACATCCATGGACAACAAATGTCCATGCCTGTAGACATCAACTTGGAGTCAGCAATGACCACTACAAACTAATTTCCACAGATTGCTGGCGGTATCTTTGAATTATTAAGGTTTACAAGATTTGTTTCCGGCACGAATGAAAGGTTGACACCACCTCTCTCCTTTGAAAAGTAAGCAACACCTGGCCATCCTCTGATAAGGGATCGAGGATGGTAGGCAGCTGTCAACTTTGGGTATCTGACCTTACATTGATCTCATTCCACGGGGTCATGCAAGCTTCCAAGTTATCAACTCTAAGATTGGTGCCGTCCCAAGACAAAGAGCTAACGAACTCGTCGTCTTCCCCGTTGATCACGGGCTTCATTAATCCCCTCGCCGCCTAAGCTTCATGTCTTGCTCTCCTATGAATGGCAGTTGTTGAATGGGCTAACTGCTGTTCATACAAAAGTAGGTTCTTCTTCTTCTTCTTCTTCTTCTTCTTCTTCTTCTTCTTCTTGTCTGTGTGCTTCTAAAGAACCTTCTTCATTGATAAGTTGAAGAAAGGATACAAAGAAGCGATCCAGTGGAGTTTCTACAGGCAAAACACATTCTTTCCCAGATCTAATTCATTTTAGCTTTCATAAACATCAACTCATGAATTCATAGGTCATGAGAACCTTCTTATCCCTTGCTGCTCCTTCACAAACCTGTCGGGTTCATGTCAATCTCACTGTGGACCCAAAAAGTGCAAGTGTATCAAAGAGTTCGAGGAATTTTCGGGAACCCACACAGGTCACTTGTCATAGATTTCGTGTGGGTTTCTTTCTCACACAGAGAGAGAGAGAGAGAGAGACAGACAGATAGAGAGAGAGAGAGAGAGAGAGAGAGACTTGTGTGCACTTGAACCATGACATTTTTTCTGGATCAAACCAATTCTAATTTTCACTTTAGTTTCTAAATTTTCTCACCATGACTTTTATTTTCTGGATCAAGACAATTCTAATTTTCGTTTTTTCCTAAAATTTCTATGATTATTGTCACGCAAAAAGCAAGTTTCCATTATATTGTCATGCACATCATGAAATATATGATCCATTCTAGTTTATCATGTTCATTAATAGACCAAAATTATTGTTCACATTTTAAAGTTGTGCTAATCATCAATGCATGTCTATCCACCCGATTGAATCACCTATGCATTAAACATGACCAAAATATTTCGAACCACGAATCGACCCAACTAATTTGGGGTGATCGGAGCTGCACGCACTCTTTAACCATTTGCGAGCCGTCAAATCAAACTCCTTAAGTGATAAGAGTAAGTTGGGCTCGCCCGACGTGGATAGGAATCGCATCGAAGTGGCCCGACATCATGTCCCTACCGAGGCAGCGGCAGAGATCGGTCGAACCGGATCATGTTTGACTGCAGAGGTGAGGAAGTCAACCCTCAGCCAAACTCTGGTGCCGGCATGATGCTTCTGATGTAGGGCAGAGATTAACCCTCATCCAAATAAGATTTCGTCGTACATGACAGAGATCCGATAGTGATAGGATAGCGACTAAAACCGGTCTAAATTGATCGGTTCGATTGGATAAATATGACGATCACTTTTTTCTAAAGCTCATTTAAATTTAGAAGAAAGACGAGTGTCAATTCATCTTCCCAAATCATATCCTTTATAAGTTCACTTTGATTATTGTATGGGAAAAGTCACAAGTTTTGATTAAAATAAACCTAATCGGTCATTTCATTTCAAATCGATAGTAAATTAGTCTAAGGATAATTTTAACCTTTAGAGCAAAATAATGAAAATTTTTAAGATTTAAAAAGCATTTGTTTTGAGGAATTGAAATCTTATTTAATATTTTTTTATATTTAAAACATTGATTTGAAAATAAGATATATATGAAACTCCTCACTTAAGCGAAGGATTCGATCTCATCTAATAAATTTTGTATACCTAAAATTTTGATTTAACGATGATGTTGATACTGACTCATTTACTAAGATTAAAGGTTTGGAAAATCTAACTCGTTGTTAAAGTTGATGTTGATTCAAATACGATCAAGGTTCTATTTTGACGTTGAGTGAAGAGATTTTAAAATTAAATCATGTGAAACTATATTAAACTTGAAAAATTATGTTAGGGATATTCCGAATAAAATTTTTCGATGTTTAAATTAATTTTTGATTCATTGAATTTGACTAAATACCGAGTCTATCAAAACAAAATGGACTAGAAGAAAGTTCAACCTAAATAACATATTGAAATGTCTTTTTAGATGAGGGTCATGATCAGTATTCAAGATCATGATTTGATATTAGAGAATAGAATTAGATGCGATCATATAGTACTAATAGAATTATAAGTATCGACATATCAATAAGGTGTCGATGACGGTGAGATGTCAGTATATTTCCTTGTCAGTATATATATATATATATATATATGAAACTCCTTACTTCAAAAGATTCAAGATCTCATCTAATAAATTTCTTATACCTAAAATTTTGATTTAATGATGATGTTGATACTGACTCATTTACTAAGATTAAGGGTTTGGAAAATCTAACTCGTTAAAGTTGATGTTGATTCTATTTTGACGTCGAGTGAAGAGATTTTAAAATTAAATCATCTGAAACTATATTAAACTTGAAAAATTATGTTAGGGATATTCCGAATAAAACTCTTCCATGTTTAAATTAATTTTTAATTTATTAAATTTGACTAAATGCTGAGTCTATAAAAATAAAATGGACTAGAAGAAAGTTCAATCCAAATAACATATTGAGATGTCTTTTTGTGGTGAGGGTCTCGAGATCATGGTTAGATATTAGAGAACAGTTACATGTCTCTTTTTAGTATTAGATGCGATCATATAGTACTAATAGAATTATGAGTATTGACACATCAATAAGATGTTGATAACGATGAGATGTCAGTATATCTATATTGTAAGTAATAAGGTGTCGATAGCGACGAGATGTTAACATGTTTCCTTTCCATTATATCTATATGTTGGTAAAGATTTTTTATGATTGATACTAAGATTTTAAAATCAAATATCATGTTAATCACTTATCATTTGAAAAAAAAAAAATATATATATATATTATATAATATTACACAAATAAAAAGGTGATAATCATAACAGCGCATTGTGCGGTAGATCATCACAACTGGCGTTTGAAATCTTTGAATCAATCATCCCTTTTAATGAGAACACATGACTAAGTTGAAAAGTATGGCTGTCACACTGAATTGATCACAAATTTGTTCTTTGTGCTATTGCTGATACTAAACGTATGTTTCAAGAGCTTCTTTCATCCATCCACTGAAACAAGAGACCTAAATCAATCCATTCAATGCATTTATATAGACATAGATAACGATGATCTCATTCCCTTTGGCTCCGTGATTTATAATTGGTTGTCCTCTTATGGAGGTTTTGTGAATCACACGGCTACCACGATTGTTATTGATGTGGATTACAGTATGCAAATATTAATCTTCTGATGTGCGACATGCACTAATATATGAACATAATTGATATCCCTAAATAAATGTATGGTTTATTTTTATTTGATAGTTAATTTTTGCACCCAAAAAAATCATCAATAAAATGGACGAGTAAAATATAAATTATGATTTGAAACAACGAAAAATAAGACAGCTACAGACTAAGCGATGCTTGCAATAAAGAAATACTAATGTGAAGGCTTTTTCAAACTATAGTGATCTGAAATAATGGTTTGATTTTGACTAATAGCGGTGAAAGTTTGACTAGCAATCGTCGTTGTCGTGTGAAATATTGGATCACAACGGTCGTTTAACTCGATGCGCGTGACACAATCTATCGCTCCCGATTCACTGTTACACAGAACCACTGTTATTTCGGACCGTGACGGCTTATTTCCATCATAATTATGTCAATCATGTATATATATATATATATATTTGTGTTTTGTATATATGTGATGAGAACAACGCAGAACACATCACAAATACCAACAAAAAATTGATATCGTTTCCATTGGGCTCTCCTTCTTTGACCCTTCTCTGTCACTCTCTCCTCCCAACCTCCTCGAATCTGCCGACCACTACGGCTCCCTTTTTATTTGCGTCTCTCCGCCCCATTCAGTACCACAACGCGTAACGCGAGGCGATAACGCAACTAGGGGTAGAGGTGCACGCAGGGAGAGGAAGAAGAAAGTGAGTGGTTGAGCGAAGATGGGGAATAGTTTGGGTGGGAAGAAGAAGATAGCGAAGGTGATGAAGGTGGACGGGACGACGTTCAAGCTGAAGCCGCCGGTGCAGGCCGTGAGCGTGCTGCGGGACCATCCGGGTTATAACCTCCTCGACGCGGATGATGTGACGCGGCTTGGCGTCCGGGCGATGCCGCTGGAGCCGGACACGTCGCTCAAGCCCGGGAAGCTCTATTTCCTGGTGGAGCTGCCCCGGGTCCCGAACCAGCGCGCGCCTCGTAGGGCCTGGTCCGGGGCGCTCCAGGTGAGCGCCAAGGAGCGGCTGGAGAGCCTCCGGCTCACCCGCCGCTCCCTCTCCGACCTCTCCCTCGCCACCCAGTCCCCCTCGGTCGAGGCCGAGGAGGCCAAGGACGGCACCGTCCGCCTCAAGATGAGGCTGCCCAAGGCGCAGGTGGAGAAGCTGATGCAGGAGAGCAAGGACGCCGCGGAAGCCGCGCAGAAGATCATGCAGCTTTGCGCTGCCAGTGATGGTGCCACCCCGTCGGCCTCACCAGAGCCGACGACGCCAACCGTGAAGGTTGGACGCAAGGAGGTACGCCCTTCTCTCTTCCTCGTCTCCTTTGCTCCTCCCTCCTTTACTCTCCACGGCTCGCTGGATTGAACTACCGATGTTAATTCGTTGGGTTTTCAGAGTTCCATCAGCACAAGTATACTTCCATATCCGTCTATGAACTCATGGCCAGTCGATACGCTAAAGGTTTAGACTTTAGACTTTCATGTCTATGAACTCATGCCTAGTTGATACGCTAAAGGTTTAGACTTTCATGTAAAAGTCAAATTTGGCCAACTCACAGGAAAGTAAACTCATGGCTTCCATGTGATTTGTGTCGGGTCTCCGGAGGAGCATTCCATGTGGTTGTACAGATCCGTAAACAAAGGATTAGATCAGAATCATGTTGTTTTTAGTTGCATGCCTGTAAGTTTCAGTCAAAGGGTTTGCTGCATCCAAGCTGATAAGACAAAACTCTGTTTGTTAGTGGCTGTAGATGCATCCTAGTCCAAGTAATTAAGCATTGACAAACTCTGATAGCATGTTTGACCAATCCTTGGCTCATCAGGCTGGCTTCAATCCTCCATACTTCAGCCATGAACTTACAGATTTCTGTGCCATTCTCCTACAAAATCTATCAAACATGACAGTGCACAAGTCAAAAGTAAATCTAAGAAGCTTTCGGATCAGTAGATCCTCCATTTCCTTGCATTAGTGGAGCCATATATAAAGTGCCAGAAATAGAGCATTACAGGTCGAGAGGATGGATAATAAGAAGCTAATGTAAATGCTCCGCACGTCTCTCTCGGCAGCCGTGTCTGCATCCAAGTCATTTTCATTAGTTTATGCCTTAGTTTATCATCAACATGATGGCCCATATGGTTGGTGTATTCGCAGGTTTGTCTCAGTCAATCATAATTGTGTTCTCCACTACCATGATCTCCATCAGTACCTTCCTTTGAGAAACGGAGAATGGTCTCGACCACATGCTTAGTTGCTTTCTTGCTTGCCGGCTTACCATTATTCTACTTGTGTTTCCGCCACCCATGTCATTTTCTACAGTAGATGGCGAACTCGACGAGTTTACAGACCGCATGAACCAACAAAAAAGAGTAGTTTACTGGAAGTTCTTCTGACGCTTTCTTTGGTCTCTCTATCTTGCAGAAGAGGACGAGGTTTGTTGCAATGCCAAACGAGATCATCGCGTGAAGTGCAACACTCGAGCCAAGCTGGTCAGTGAGAAGAAGCAGAATCACTAGATCTTGTAGTATTTGTCCAAAAGAAAAAGAAGATGTGGTGGGTAGGAACATGAGAAGCTGCGTAGGGCTTCCTATTCCCCACCCCCCACACACAAAACTAGCCTGCGTTTGTCATTTGTTATATGGTACTTTACTACGCTTGAGTTGAGTGAATGGAATTCTCGCAGCAACACTTCCTCTTTCCTCTCAGTGTGCTCATCTTGGACTTCTTCCAACATTCTCCAACAGGCTTTCGGCAAAAAGCGAGCTGTAAAGGTGCTTTAAATTGGTGCCAAAGTGGAGAATATTTAATCTTTACACGTAGTAAAGAGACAGTAATTTGTTTCTTGATGTGACCTTCACATAGTGCTTCTTTCAACGAGAGAGAGAAAACACAGTAAAAGGATGACAAGAATTCTGCAGCAGTTCATTACGTTTAGGATTAATTGTATATTATCCTTTATAATTAATTATTTTTAATATTTCAATTCTTATATTTTTAAAAGTTATGTTAAGATTCATATATATATACATTTTAAAAAATATGTAATCTAATTTTTTTATGATTTTATTGACGAAAATATTACAAGGTTTATCATTGAGTATGCGTTAACTCTGTCTTACGATATTGTCTATCAGTAGAGTTGACAGCGTAAAAAAATATATTTATAAGTACAGAGATTCTAATATAATTTTTAAAAATATAAATATTAAAATATTAAATTTAACTAATTACAGGAGATAGTAGTCGGGGCTAATCGAATCGGATCAATAGTTGTAAAACAAATCATGAAAATATTTCTTTAAAAAATTAAAATAAAAAAATAAATAAATAGATGATTTCGATTCAAAATCAGTATCACAACCGTCGATTCTTAAAGCAACATCTGAATGGCTTAAAATCGATTGGATTCCGATCGATTTGTGGCTACTCCACCAACCAAACGACAAGAAGAAATTTAAGGTTTTGTACAGACATGGCAGGCCCAATTCCTCATTTAGTTTGCTTGCCACTCGTCATTGATGGTCAGCTTTGGCCACTCGTCTTCGACGCCGATGATTACTACTCGAGTGGATGGAATTCATCTGTGGATAGGATTTAGATGATAAGTACAAGCAGACACATCCATCTTGCATCGGAATTTAATATTAGATTATTTCATTTTTTAACAATTTAAACTTCTATGACTATCGATCATCCAATTTATAGTTCAAACTAGTCGACAGTCAATTTCTATTAATCAATATTAGATTAATTATATGTTATCTTTTGTAATTAGTTATTTTTAGTATCTCGATCTTTATAATAATTAATATAATTTTTATAAATATATGAACAGAAATACTAAAGATAATTAATTATAGAAAATAATATATAATTAGCTCATCAAAACTAGTTGGCAGATGGATCGATCGTAGGAGATTAAGATTATAGCATTGGCATGTATTTCTCACCAAATTTGCATTGGTTTGAATTTGGGTACTGTGAATCCTTTCTTTTCCTCATCTCAATTCCTTTCCAAAGATAAACTCGAATCTTGCTGTTTGCTCTGTTCAAGCTAAACTAAGAGACAATAAATAGCAATGCACAATCGATTCAAAGCTTTCTCTTCGCTGCTTGCGTTACTACTTCTGCTTCGAGTCTCCAAATTATCTTCGAGACGAGTGGCATTTAATGTAAAAATGACGAAAGTTAGACCCAATTATTATATAGGAAAACAAAGGGCGTATTTTAAGTGGAAAAGGTTGACGCAAATCCCTTCCACGTCAGCAATCCGTGTGATCTCATATCCCGCCACTCCCCACAATCCGATCCCCGTCACATCGTCTCATCTCGACCGTCCGTCCTCTCTTATTCTTTTGTTTCTCGCCTCGCATCATCCCGAAGTTATTTATTTATTATTTATTTATTTATATTATTTACTTTTGTTGTTATTAATCTTCTATTTATTTTTCCTCACCTCAGAGAAACCCACTGAGCTTTCTTTCTTTCTTTCTCCCTCTCTCTGTCTCTTCGTCGTCGTCGTCGTCGTCGCCGCCGTCGCCGTCGCCGTCGCCATGGCCACCGAGGAAGAGAGCAAGCCTCCGAGTCATCCTCCTTATGCTGAGGTAGTTTCCATTCTTTTGCGTGGATTCTCGATTTCGGTGCTTTTGCTTCGCTCGATCAATGATTTTGTGCTGGATCGATGGTGAACTGCAGATGATAATGGCGGCGATCGCCGCGTTGGGGGAGAAGGGCGAGACGGACGAGTCCGCGATCGCCGCTTACATCGAGTCGGCGTACCAGGGCTTGCCGGAGTCGCACGCGGCGCTGCTCACCGCTCACCTCGCCCGCATGACGGATGACGGGGAGTTGCACGTCGTCGGCGACAACTACGTGCGGCCCGACCCCACCCCGGCCGCGCCGCCCAAGCGGGGCCGCGGCCGGCCGCCCAAGCCCAAGCCCAATCCCGCGCTTACCCCCAGCGCCGCTCCGGCAGCGCCCCGACCGCGCGGCCGGCCGCCCAAGCCCAAGGACCCGCTCGCCGTGGCCGTTGCGAAGGCTGCCAGTGGGCTCCCTCGGCGCAGGGGCCGCCCGCCAAAGAGGGTGAAGGCGGCCCAGCCGGCTGGCGCCGATGCTGGGGCCGCTCCTTCTCCTGCCGTGGTAGGGGTGAAGAGAGGTAGGGGTAGGCCTCCGAAGGTGAAGCCTGCGGTGGACGTCGTTTAACCGATGAAGAATTTGGGGAGGGGGGCGGAGTATGGAAACAACTGCTGCTGATCGTTCCAAACTTGCTGTTTGCTTACTGATTTACTTCTGTAGTTGCTGTTAGGCTACTTAGGATGAGATGTCCGGTTGATGACTTGTTGTAATGCATATGTACATTAATGCGTGATGTTAGTTGTTTACTGTGCTATTGAAAGTGATAGACTAAATTGGGCAGGGAGTTTCCTTCCTTTGCTTTCTTTTCTCGAGGGAAATTTTGACATTCTTTAGTTTGCTTTCGATAATTAGGGAGAAAAAATTGTTTTTTTTGGGTTTCAAGTTGGCAAATCTTTTTTTTCTTTTTTGGTGATGATAGATCTATTAAGAGGGATTGTGTTGCTTTTCTTTGGCTGCTTGAAACATAGTTATATGATTCTATCATGCAGGTGCTATGAGATGTGCACTACAACAAATGCAGGTAGAGAACTATTTATCCCTCTTGTGAATTTGGTGGAAGAAACTTGGTAAGCACAAGCATTTTCTATTGCTTAGTTTTGGTTGGAGAGGAGATATCTTCCAAATGTTGAAATTACGCATGATGGTGCTTTACATTTTATTTATTCTTCCTTTTTAAGATATTTTTTGTTCACTTTTGTGTTTGAGTATAATGCTTGTCTTGTAAGATTTAGTTTCATAGTCTGAACTCTGGAATCATCCCTGCCTTGTTGTTTGGCTTGATGTTGAGTCCTTGCAATTGATAGTTTTGATCAAGCTATGAACAAAGCCAGTGCACCTGAAATACTAACAATTGCTTCTAATGTGCAATGCATTTGTTGTGCATATAAGCTTCTGTTTGCTTTTATATTCCCATTGTTTAGTTTCATTTGCTAAGTTATCCTACCATTCTTATATCTTCTGTTGAGGTGTGCCATTATTGCACTTTCCACTTCTAATTATTTATGCGGTATTATGCTTTCCTTTTCTGTTTGATTATTTATATGACAATGAGAACAATTTCTAGATGAGGCTTTTGAGCGATTGTTCGATATACTGTATTATTCTTATTGAAGTTCATCTACAATTTGCTTTGCACAATATTTGGTGTGTGCTCATGTCACATAAGAACATCTTGTTCTGTAATTAGTTTTGCTTTTTGCGCATCATCTTACTCTTCATTGATACATACAATATTTGATGTAGAATGGATCGCTCCTAACGAGTGATTGAAGTCATGAATCCCATTTCTTGGATTGCAACACTTCAAGAGTGTGATTTGGAAGATTGCTACATTGTTAGTTTATGATTGTCCGAAGGGTAAAATATCAGAAAGCCAAATTCTGAATGAATCATTTCATTGAAGTAGATATCTGTAGTCATCTGATGATGATAAATGTATGTCGTTCTAGCCGTCTTCTAGTTATAATTATCATGAAACATGAGACTAGGGTTTAGCTCGGATCAATATAGACTATGTATGCGGATCGTTCCATTTCAGACAGTTTGGTCTGACCTATTGAAAAAAGATTACAAATGCTTTTTCAATTGGATTAGTGAATGCAAGCCTTCTCCCTAGCAGATCTATAGGTATGTAGATTGATATATATCACTATACTAATCTTTTGTTGGATTGGTATATATTGTTCATACCGAATGATACATACGTCACAATACAATATACGAGATGGAAATCCAGGATATCAAATATATCTGTAATCATTTAGCCATGAGATATCCAACATCTGATATGTGGAAAAGCTACTAGGATTTTTACTATCCATCTAGCTGGACAGATTTAGTGAAGAAATATCATGAGGGTAGTTTGTAGGAGAGTGACTTCTGACCTGAATGAGTACGCTTCAAACTAGTTGAGATTTGATTTTTCTGAGAAAGTGACTTTTGATCATGCATCCATTTTATTTCAACAAAAAAGAGAATGTGTACAGAAGTCATATTGAGGAAGATGAAACAAACCAAGAACGCTATATGTGCTACCTTTTATTGATACGTCATCCATATCATCAATTTAGCAGTTGCAAAAGGCAAAAGTGTTTTAAGTGGTGATCAAAAGGAGAGGGAAGCAACACTGAAATAGGGACGGTAGGTAGCAAGAAGGAAAGTAAGAATAGAATCCCAAATCAAAGAGAATGATAGCTCGATGACACACTGAAACAGTGATAGGAAGCAGTGCAATGCTTAGGAACGTGACCTTGAATGGGGGCAGCCATAGAAGACCGACTCCTGATCATAATTGATGAGAAAAGAAATGCTCATGGTGCACTCGCCTGTGCTTTTCCAGCTGAGCCAAAGAGGTGCATCTTCTCGGCAATCACAGCTTTCATTGCTTCCTCTGCTGATGCCATCAGATGAACCAAATCTTTATGGGGCTTCTGCAGAGCATCCAGGTAAGCACTCCGGACTTCTGTGTTCACGTTGAACTTCCGGACACCCAGAGCTATGCACTCCTGTTAAGGGAAATAGGTCAAGGTTAATACTGCTTCAAGTGTTTTTATTTTGTTTGGTAGCATTACCTCATTTGTAATTTGGTATACTAATGAAGAATAAAAGTATAGATAAAGAGGAAAACTATGTGATGCCATGATCTCATGTACAATGTGTATTTACCTGAACGACTCAATGTTCTAAATGTAAAGGAACCATGTAAACGTATGAGAAATAAATAGCATGGTCATCAGGTTTACCTAGTGATGCATACCATCTTATCAATGAACCAGTTCTCTTGATGTAGTGAAATGGGAAACCTGCCTAAATCAATTGCTGTAAGCTAGATAGTGGTTATAACTTAGCCAAAAGCAGTTGGGACAAGATACTCGGTATACGAGGCTCTTGTCAATGCGGGGTCTGAGGAGGGTCAACGTACACAGTCTTATCTTTAAATATTTAAAGAGACTGTTTCTATGATTCAAACCTTGGTCTCCCAGGTTGCAAGGGAGTAACTTTACCATTGCGACATGCAAATCTTCAGCACACAATATCAAAAACTGCCTTGTACATTTATGTTGCTTTTGATTACTATAGATGAAATTTAGATTTTCCACAAAATTTTAGTTTCTACCTTAACAAGATCACTTGGCAGACCAGATGCTCCATGAAGAACTAAATGGACTCCTCTGTCTAAAGTCAATGCCCGAAGTTCCTGTCAGAGAAGCAACATTAGGTCAATAAACCAAGAAACTGCATAAGCAAGTGTTCAAATCCATAATTTTCAATTAGATTATGATTATTACTGAAACAAAACTATCAGCAAATATAATATCACAGGGTTTCTATAAGTAATATGGAAAAACTGAAGACGGCAAAGTAAGGTATTGATACAACTGCTCAACCACTAGAACAGGTTCACGATGTTACAGGTTCAGCTTCTTCATTCAGAAAGAACGAACAAAAAGGGATGAAAGAAAAGAAAGATTTATTTGACTTATAAAGAGCTTCCAAGCTTATCAAGGGACTAGTCTCCAAGCATTGCACCAAACTGCACTAAGTAATAATTTTGTTAAAATACAACGCATTGCATATACAAAGGAATTCTTAGTACTTGGTCCTTGGGATTTTTTTATGAACTTTCTGTTGCTTATCAGCAAAAAACAGGATGTGACACAATAAAAGCCTGTTCCTGGATTTACTAAGAAACTGAAACATGACCACTTTGCCCATATTTTCCTCTATGATCAAAATATAAGTACACTGTACGCCTACAACATTGCTTCCAGTTATTAGACACTAGAAGAAAGTAATTTATTTTTGGTAACAAAATTCCAAACATACTAGACACATGCTGCGCCTCGATTTTTGATCTAAGGATCTAAAATGTGTAAATATTACATGATTTACTCATCGATTGAGCCTCTTGCAGCAGCTTGAACTCTACAGAACTTGATTTAATCATGAGTGGGAGCAAGAGCAAGCCTGGGGAAGCTAAAGCTGGACTATCTACACCACCTTTATCATCAATTTGGTGTAAAACAAAATTGGTGCCTAAAACAAAATTGAAGCTAAAGTTCACTAGTCTATTTGGTGTAAAACAAAATTTGCTTGCTATTTACTGCTTTATCATCAATCATTTTCATTTTCGAAGAAGTGGGTGCCTAACCCATTATTACCTGATATAGATTTTACTTTCAATAAAAATGTTTCTAAATATTAAGAAATTAGTGAGAAGACTTACCCATGCATTTATTTTGAGGCAGAGTCTGTTATGACCCTAAGAAAATAGGTGCCAAACAACTTATAGAAGTGCACGTTTATAGTCATGAGAAGCTCACAACTAGTTATTCAAGATAATGCATAAAATTATTAATTTGGAATGCAAATCATTTGACGTAGTCAATACAAGTTTTATGAGTAAGCAAACAATGATGAAAAGTCAATTGGAAAGCTACTGACCTTTAGCAAGTCAAGTCTAAGATTTGGACCACTAGATGGGTATTTCCCATGTACATTGCCAATGCACACAGCTAGAGCATTGATTCCTGTCTTATCAATAAATTCTTGAGCCTGAAATGAAGAGACCAAATGTGAAATAAAATCATAAGTGAGATTAATGTGTGACTGCCTAATCCTGCAAAAAAATGAACCTGCTTAACATCGGTCAATCTGGCTTCATAATCTTCAACTGTCAAGTCATCTTCAGTGCCTGACAACCGCCCAAGTTCAGCTTCGACTAGCATTTCCTTAGCACGTGCTAGACATGTTAAGAATTTTGTGTATGAGACATTCTCTTCAAAAGGAAGATGAGAACCATCAGCCATTACTGAATCGAATCCCTGAACAATCAACCAGGAGATTTGTATTTTGAGGAGATTCAAGTAATTGTTCAAGAATATTAATACTAAATTATAACCTAGAACTCGGTGCTCGAGGTGTATGCTACAGAGAGTCTTAGAGGTGAACAGAGCATTGGCAATGGGACCTACCAATTCAAGAGCTTCAAGTACCTCAACCTTTGAATTGCCATGATCAAAGTGAACAGTAATTGGGACCTGCCATTATAAGATGGTGAAGTGTCATCCATACTCTTGATTAAAAAGGACAATTTTTAAACAACAAAAAGCTGATGAAATAAGTAATCATATTATGATGGTTCGAAGACACCATTAAAGGTAATTAGTGCAAGATAGAATGCGTAAAAGGTAGTCCATAAATAACCGGATCTAGTTATTTATACTTCTATGAGGAAACTTGATCAACATAAAGAACGTAATTAGCAATAGCATAGGTGAAATGAAGGTAGTCCACAATTTTGGTTGACATGCTAAAACTTATAGTTATATAACATGATCAATTCAATTGCAATAGTTGCTTAAATTCGGTAGCTTATCACATCTAAAAATGGACCATGCTATCTAAACAGAATATGTTAAATTAAGGTGGAGGCTACATTTCTTGATTGGTATCTAGGACTACATTCCGATGGACATTATATTAAACCAGCAACTATACTGATATTAAATAATAGATACTAGAGAAAAATATTACATATGAGTGTAATATGATAATCACAAATAATTTCCTGAACAATCAACACTTTTCTTCTCAACAAAAAAATTAGAAGTAAAGTTGTGAAATTTAACTGCATAGCTTGCACTTACCCTGGCCTGTTCAGCAGCAGAAATGCAACATGCAACCAAAGGAACTCCACCATGTTTCAGAGCACCTGGATGAACCTGGGAAGAAGAAAATTATTAACATATTTGCAGCAGCCAAGACAAAGCAATCATTCCGTTTTTATCATTTCTCTGGAAGTCACAGCATTGATAAGATTACATCTAATTTACAATTGACTAATGCTCTAAAAAATATTTAAAAAGCAATAATCAAGTACTATAATAGAAAGAAACCATGTCAGAAGAGGTTTATAAAAATATAAAAAACAGATATAAACTCTATAATACAACTTTAATCACAGAGCAGAATGGATTTAATTTGTTTTCAGAGACCTTTAAGGATTTAATTTTCTATTGTAGTTGTTAGTCAGGAGCTTGATTCTAATAGCTGCACCAATGGGCATCTGCATGTTCTAGAGAGATAGCGACATTCATCCTGGGGTCATGTGATGGTCACATGCATACTTAACTAATATTATTTAATTATGACATATTAGATGTGAATTCATATTCTAGGAAATAACAAGTAATCAAGGGATCATATTAAAAAATGTCAGGATACTAGATTGATTGATTCATGATTTCTGCTTGTTATGAATGTTCGGAACTTTTTCTAGGAAAGAAAATATATGGCCAGCCTTATTTTCTCTCTTCTGCTATCTACATTCTCCTGTTTTCTTCTTCCATAACTGTTGCACCAATGTTAAGAATGGGCTATCTTCTGATTGTTGAAGGTTACCAATGACCAGGTCCTCTATTTCTAAAAGGTGGATTTTCTTTTAATCATGCATTTTATCATTTTATCACGAGCAAATGGCTGACATCACTTGTTTTTATAATTGTTTTTTTTAATAGCAAACATTATAGGACAAATGATTTATTCTGATATTCTTGAAGAACATTTCTGTCGAAGAACTAACGTTTGTACTTCAGATATTCCTTTTTGCCATTTTTAAAACCAGCATTCTGTACCTGCAAAATGGCAGGACTATTTTCAGCCTCAGCAGCTGAAATAACTGCTTCAACACCTTCGAGATTATACACATTGAATGCTCCAACAGCATATCCACCCTTCTCTGCATTCTTGATTAAAAAAAAAAAAACTTGTGAGTATCGCAGAAGATAGCAAAGTATATTTCAATTATAAGAAACTTACTAGAAGAATATCCTTTGTTGACCTAGAAGGACGAGCCCAACTTGTTACAACATCAACTATGGCATTGTTATCACCAACATTACCTGTTACATAACAAGAATAAATATTATTGAAAATAAAGTCAGCATTATGGTTTTATGTACCATTAGAGATGTAAACAACCTGGAAAAACAATATATGGAACCCCTGGATGATGGCTTTCTGGACCTAGCTGCCATAAGGGGACGCCGGCCAATGCTTGTCCAATTACCTTGGCACGCTTTGCTTCTAAAGCTTTTGTAGCAATATCTGATGAAGTAATTCCACCCTGAACATGACGAAGTACAAGAACAACCAGAGTTCGTTATATAATCCCTTCCATTAATACATAGAATTTATGTAATCCTTGCATATTATGTTTACTATCTGAAGCAAGATTAGATATCTTCTTACATAAGGCACGTGAAACTAAGGTTTAATGTACTGAAGCGTACCACTCGGTATGGGCGATATGTATCGGTCTAACAGAGGACCGGTATAAGTGGTACATCGGTACACCCAAGTATACCGTGTGTTGATATGCTCGCTATAACTCGGTACAGCTCGGTATGTACCATACCAATATTTGGTTGGTATACCGGTACAGACCGGTAATACGAACCATGCATAAAACTATACGTTTTGTTCTATACTAGCAAAAAGATGAGTTCAATCTGCTAGCAGGTTCAAGTGCAGCATATTTTTCAGCAATCAAATGAGTTTGCTAACACAAACCATTATTCAAGGATGTCTAGATAACAAAAATACATTGATGTTAGCATGTCTAACTACTGATTCAAAGCACCGTTTTGTCTTAAACATAGACATGCTAGTTAACCTAAAGAAAAGGCTCTTTATCTATGGAGAACGACTAGGCAGAACAGAAACACTATGAGGTTACATACTTTTGGAAAACCTGACAATGCTTTTTTTACCTGACAGCAGGTTATAGTTAATGGCATTCCACACATCAGGACTTGTTAGAAAACCTTAAGGACGTCATGTTGTTTCTTTGATGTCATCAGTTGAATTAAAAAAAAAATCAGGGTTCTATTCCTAGTGCAGTCAAAAAAATTTCAAATTTAACTCATAATTAACCAAGTTACCGCATAAAAGCATAGTGATTGCCATTCAAACTCAGTCAATTCGGTTGAAGGGCATTCTAAGGACTAAGCAGTGTTTGATGTTTCATCTGGACCAGTACAAAATGAGAGGTACATATCAGGCATACACCGGTATGTCAACTGTGTCCATTTTGGATGGTCTGGTCTGAACCATTTAAAGAAAAATTAATACACACTTAAGGGCTCACGAACGTGAACCCTCCCGAATGCAAGCCCTTTCAACTCATGCTACTGCCGGTCGTTGAGTGCCCCCGCGCCTCCGCCCCACACCCCCACCAACCCCCCCTCTCTTCCTTCTTCTTCCTCCTCCTCTCCTTCCTTTCTCTTTCTACTTCTTCCTCTTCTTTCCTCCACTGCACCTTCCTCTTCTCCTTCTTCCTGTCTTTGAAACACCGAAACGTACCAAGTGTTGGTACACCAGCAACGACTAGGGATTGATATGGGTCCAATATGTGAAGCAACAATCCTTGATTCTAAACCATATAACTTTGCCAATAGGCTTGGGCTTTATAAATATTTGAGGTTGCTTGCATAAGTTCTGCACTTAATCCAATTGTCTTAAAGATGATGCTAAACATGAAATGCTAACAGCTTTAGTTCATAAAAGTTTGATCAAATCAGCATTTGGACCCATCTTATGCATTTTTTTGGTTCAATAAACTATGATTAATTTAATATGCAGTGCCAATTTTGAATTCTATTCAAACTGACATTATGCTTTTGAAGTTCAAACACAGTCCATGTTCAGAAGTTTAATAGCTACAAACAATCTGCACGACTATGACATTAAAAATTCACAACTTGCAATAGTTATAGCCAAAAATACTGCTGTGCTAAGGAGAGAGCTGTAGTGATGGTTGAAACTGAAATCAACATAAATTTGCCAAACTACATGTGAAGTTGTGATACAACGAAAATAAAATGAAGACTTCTTTTATTGTGTGCGCTCTGTACCTTGGCAAGGATATAACGAGGACGAGTAGTAATCTGTTGAACAATAGCAACCAGAGCAGAGCTGACTTTAGAGTTGATTTCTAAACTTTCTTCAGGAGCTGCATGAGAGATTAAAAACTTATCAAAGACAAAAAAACAGGGAAATTTTATCTATTTATCACCCTTTTAAAGGGCTTAATATGACTCCAACAACTGAATTAGGACAGTAGATGAGAAGCATATACAAATACATGTGCTGTGAGTGGTGCATGGGAAGATTGAATGGTTTTCATAAATCTCAACCCTAGCAATGAGGCACCATTATATGTATTGCAGTTATGTTGATATGGATGATAAATTACTAATTCACAATGCTTTTTATTTATGTACTGAGCATTTCATTTCAACCTTCTGTTCTTAGCTAATTAATAAAAAACTGAGATATGTATTGCAAATTCCAGCCATAACCATACTTCAAGCTCATCTACTTGACAACTCCTTCAGATGAGGATTGTAAGCAAGGGATAACCTTATTTAAACTTTATAATAATCAACGTGTTTGCATTTGGATCTCAGAAAATCCTCTCAATGACTGAAGTGTAGAAAAATAGAAGTCCAATATAATGATTGGTCTTTCGACGGAAATAAGATCAAGTTATTAATTACTTGATGGCAAAACACAGCTGACAGAAGATTGTACAGTGGTGTTTTGGCATTCGAGATGAACTGGAAACATATTGCTCATAATTCAAGCTCTTCCTAAGTTTGCTGAATTATTGTGAATAGCTTGGGTGTGACATGTAATCAATGAAGCAGATGTTCCTACAAGCAAACTAGCTTTTCAGCAGCAGAAATAGGCAAAACCTATTAACTTAATTCATTAAAAAGAATGAATAAGGTGAATAAGAAAGTTTAGAAGAAAGATTAGAGAAAAGAAGAATTGAATATATAGTAAGGACAGCATTCTCAAAGAAAATGAACGTAAATGAACTATTCCACTTGTGATTCTTCTGATAGAAGGTAGGAGTGCCATCTGCATAAAATATCAACTACAGTTTGTGGATTTCCATAATTTCCAGTAGATGAAAGTGAATCACCCATTCCCAGTTGATCTCCAAAACAGAACCAGATTATTATGCAAAACCAGCTTAGTGAAAGGGCAAATAAGGAGAATGTTATCAGTATCTTTATCTGTGTTTCTGTACCAGTCACAAACAGCAGCATCTCTTTTCTTAATTTTTCAATAAAAAATGATTCAAGTGGATTATAATTTTGGGGACTCACCAGATGAAATATTTTTTTCTCTTGTCATCATTACACTTCTAGAAAAACTCTAAATGAAGAAGACAGTTGTTCCGAGAAGGCAATTTGTACAAAAGATTGACAACTCTCCACAGTACCCATATATGTATCATGCTCAGTACCATGTGTCTGTACAAGGCACACACCAGAATGAATCTATTTTTCTACATAAGGTCATATCATGTGATACTAAAGACATATGCAAAGGCATGACAGACCATCATGCTGTGTCAGCCAGTGACTGACTTAACATGGCAATTGATGCTAAAATCTCACAAATCGACTGACCATAGCGGATATTGCATCCAATAAAATCAGCATAAGAATTTCTGGCAGATATCTTTTTTTTTAAACAAAGACAAAAACCATGAACTCCCAATCGTTTGGCTTCAGAATCATGCATCTATACCTGCCAGAACTTATTGGAAATATCATTAATCAAACCAAGGTTCGCCGTGCTGCCTGAAACGGTACAATATGGGCTGCACGCACCGGTCCGACAGGGAATCAGCACACAGACCATCCTGTACCAGACAACCTATTGTTGGGTATCCCGTATCGGTTGATACGGGGTATGTACTAGACGGAACGATTGAATCTGATACCGATCAAGGGTTGAGATTACCCTATGTTGCCTGATACGTTTTCTAATTATTTTGAGGGTGGTGCATGGATGGAGTAGTATTTTACTCATACCACCCAAGATTCAGATCTTGGAGCTCGACGAGGTATTAGTCAGTTTTATACACCGAAGGGGAAGGGAAAGACAATCGATGATTTTGAACAAATATGACAGAGCCTATACAACATAGACACAAAGAGGGGCTCATCGTATTCCTATCGTATTATGGAGGATCTTACGACCAGTAATAGTACGATGATAGTTGGTTATTTTTCTCCGAGCAGCAATATGATGATTGACCTTATGATAGGAGCAATAGGTCAATAGTGAAAGTAAAAGTTCCAACGTTCTCCAATATCTGCACGAAAACCTGATACAATCATACTTGCCTTAGGAGCCGCCTCAGACATGTATGGTTTACGATGATCAGATTATGACCATCACCATATTGATGTACTAATGACATGATGTATCAAACTATCAATATACTATGTTATGAGATTAATTTCAAGATTGGATCCGACAAACATACCTTATTGATATACAAATACATAAGATCGAGGACCCCGATCCAGAGTCCATGGAGTCAAATCGTTCTTTTTGGTGGTAGAACCAAGTATATCCATCGATCGATTCATTTATTAGTTGATTCATTTGAATCTTAAAGCTTAACTCATAATTTAACAATTCAAATTATTTCTTTATAGGTAATTTCGAAGGGAGTTTTGGCTTTTTTTTATGCCATCGACACGCACTGTCATGTCGACAGTTGGTGTGTCGGCTTGGACAGGTAAGTCAAAGCTTGGATCAAACCAGGAATCACCATATCTATCTTTTGAGGCAACAGCAAATTAACTCTTTTTAGTTTCTACTTTCTAGTAAAGTTTTTACCACTACTAATCCCAATTGGGTTACCCTGTCTAGTCAATGCATGTTGTTTTTGCTGAAAATGAATCCATTTCCCCATCACTAAGAAATATATCCCAGTAGTACCCAAGAAGTATCAATCATGTGCAGTGATGTGAACCAATTTTAATCCTGTGAGAAGGGATAGTCAAAGGAAAAATCTAAAAAAATTATGTGACATCGGATGAGGACAGGTAATCAGCATGCATCTGAAATGACATGCAATGAAAAGAAACCTTACAGCAACAAAGTTCTTCTACCTTCCCAGCCAGTATATCCTATTATCAAGACCTTAAAGTTTGCATTTGTATGCAATAAATTGTAGCTGATCATTTTCTATTATCATTGATCTTTGTGCAAATGATTATCAAACTTATTATAAATTCACAAGTCACAAGCGTGCCACACTATATTTATATAATTGTTTTCTAGAGGCATATACTCTGATTTTTACTACTAAAAGGTAGAACATCAAATAAGGTGATTTCTCTAAAATAAATGAAATATAATGCATACATTCTCAAAGATAGAGCACTGCTATAAGAACAATGAGCTCATGGAAGAAGAAAGAAAAAACAGAGAGAGAAAGTGAAAGGATAATGCTGACATCTTCCAGTAATGAGTTGCCGGCTGGTCATCACAAGAGTGTCTTTGCCAGCTTTAAGAGAAGCACTTGCAACATTTGCTACATGATTGATCTCTTCATCTCTTTCTTGAATTGATTTCATGGAAATGTTATCAACTGAGACCTGCTCTAGAGAAAAGGCCCATTAACCCAAAGACAAACTAGATGATAGACAACTAGCACATGAAATAATTTGCAGCCTGCATTTATATTAGAGGGAAAAAGCAATTCATACAAGAAACCCAAGAAAACATATGAAACTCTTACACATAATCAACGAACTTTTCTTGTTTCATTAGAAAAGGGAACTAACCTCGACACATTTTAGTTTTGGGCCAAAGTGTGATATAAGTGCTTCAACCTGAGTATGTAGACACAACAACAAGAGATCAGAATTAAGTTAACTGAAATAAAATAATCAACAAAATAGAGAAACGGAAAAGTCAGACCTGCTTTGTCGTTTTAGGCACATATGAGCCCACAATGATGAGGCCACCACTTGTGTCTTTGGTTATGCCAAGATCACTTGGGCGGATGGGAGGTCTTGGCTCTATTCCAATTCGAGCAGACACAAAACTTGCAGCAGTTCGACATAAGAAACGTTTTCCTTTTATTTCAGCCTGCATAATACTTAAGATGTTAACGAAGAAGAAAAAAACAACTACATTTAAAAGATTTGGTAAATTAGCTTACTTGTATCATGCCTGCAGAAAAAACAGAAATGTCTCTTTCACTTGCAGCATTTACAATGCATATTGAACCCTATCAAGCATATCATGAATTCTAAGAAATTAGATATAATCATATAAGAATTAATTTTATCACAGTATGCATAAGACAAATTGCTTTAGTAATTTAAATGAATTGAAGTATGAAGACAATCAAGAAGTAAATAAATGCACTTAGAAAAGATGTTCCTAACCAAGAATTAAGATCTAGTATATCAAAAACAAATAATACAGTTTATGAGTCAGCATGTTAATATTCTTTATACCTTTTGCAGGTTACAAAGATGCTCACAGATAGCAGCTGGCCCTCCTTTACGCAAGAGGTTAATAGAAACTGATGAAACATTGTTGGCTGGAATTCGTCCTTTTGTTTTCTCTTCAACCCACTATTATTTATATGAAGAATCAAATTTACCTCCTTCGTTCTATCAAAACTTTATGTTGATAAAATAATGTTGAAAAGTTCCTTTCTTTACCTCTCTAAGATTGGAAGATCTATAACCAAATGCAGCATCTTTAGCAAACTCAGTCTCTCCAGCAGGAACAAGCCTACATATGTGACCAAGATGAGGCTGAAGGAGAGTAGGATACAGTGATGATTTTTAGAATTTACAATTCCAGTTTGCAAATTCATGATATACCTATCGGCATCTGCAACATAATGGATATCATCAATAGTGTAACGTCCTCCTTGTAGAAAGAAAGGACAAATGATCCATGCATCCATCTCTCCTAGTACTGATACTACTGCATCAGCTTCCTGGAAAAATTCTCAGATTTAGACAATATATGAGAACTATTATCATATTGTACATGATTAGCTCAAAGTAAAAAATTTAAAAAATGAACAACAGAGCGTAGTGTGTGCTAGTGTCAAAATTCATCCACGTGGTAAATATTGTAGACTGCCTGTATAATGCTGTGCTGTTTACCATCATATCGCAGGTGTGCGACAATGGCACAACATGACATATGCCTTCTATATTTTCTCTCCACGAGTGCAAAACACATACAAATGCATACTTGAGAACTTTATCAGTGAAACAAACAAGAAGAATTGAAGCCTTACCTCAGGAAAGTGACCCCGAAGAGTTGAATCACCTCTTAGTACTATAGTGAAATCAATGCCCTTCACTGCTTGAGCTGCAGCTTCTACATTTCTACATATGGTTTTGGTCAACAAAATAGCCTGTGGAATGTCACAGGAAGGATATTACTCTCAGAAGAAAGATACCCTAAATTTCATATCAGTGATGCATGTATAACTTGATAACAAAGAGATTGATCAATAGAAGTTCTGAAAATGTTGCAAACTAGGTATATAGACCATAATGTTTTTGTCAAACAATACCTTCTCAGTGGTCAGAGATCGTGAATTAGTTAAAATGAAAAAACATGTAGGCCTTTTGCTGAACTGTTCAACAAGCATCTCAATGTTCCTACATTTCCAACATTCAACAAAAAGTAAGGCCAACAACAATTTGTGTAACAAAAATATAACCAATGTTTGTTTCTATCAATAACTCATTATCCTTGACGACAAATCATCAAAATCTGAAGAAGGAAATGAATCTGAGAATCATGAGATTAATTGTAACATGATAGCCTGAAATCTTACCATTCTGTCAAGACTTCTATGTCGTGGACAGTTTGAGTTCCAGTCGGATCATCATCTAAGACCACTAAAACTTTAGATTTACTTTGACATTCCATTGAACTAAGATATTCCAATGGATTCCCGGGCCATTCTGGTGAGAGAGACTTGAACATATCTACTTTACTGATAATAGGGTTTTTGTCTTCAATTCTAACACCAGTTAATGTTTCATATACCTGTCAAAGAACAAGGTTTCATCAGATCAAAAACATAACCTAGAAACTAAACTTTCCTTTCACTAGATGTAGACAGGAAAGAACACACTCATGCATTAAAAACATACTACTTAATACCAGTGAGTATTTCAGCATATTGCAGCATGGAATTCAGTCAAATTTCTGAATATCAGTGAGTTGAGGCCTGAATAAGCTATACTTGCACAAATGAAAAACAGATCTATTTGGTTGCAGATTTTTTTATTAAAGTGGAGAAGTTCAGCTGCAGGCTTATTTCAACAAGGAGATGGAACAAATTTAAGGGAAGTAGAATACACAACAGAAATATAAAAGAAGAAAGAAAAGAGAAGAAAATGTAACTACATAATGGGCTGATCCTTTATCCACAAAACCATCAAAATCTGCAATTTCGAAGAGGCTGAAAAATGCTTGGAATCCTTTGAAACAAGGATGGGTGTGCTAGGAATGATCATTTTAGTTGTTAGAGGCACCCATGAAAAACTATGTTATTGCTTTCCTTTCAGATGGCCCAAAAAGTTGCAGTGTGAGTTCATCTCTCAATCTTCTCTATCTGAAGGTCAAACAACTTTTTCCACCATATCTGAGGGGATGGTAGGTTTAGTCCACAGTATGACAACCCAATATCTCAATCAGCCCCATTGAATTGGAGAACGAATTTTTCCATGGTCAACTCCACAAACAATATTTAAAAACAATTAGATTTTGAGTAGCACCACTCATAAATCACATGGAAGTTATTTTTTCCATTGATGGTAATTAACTGCTCTTTTATTGTCCTGCTAAAGCTTTCATGTATCTAGTAAAGTTAAGAAACTAAACATAAAAAAGAAAAGAAAATAAGATGGAACTTAGACCACCAAAAAATTATACCTTGACAACAGCAGCATCATCACATCGACCCCAACCAGATGATGAACCTGCAACAAGAGATAGCTCATAGAATCAAAGTTGAATGGTCAAATAATGAGGGGCATGGATAGTGCTGTATGGCCACCAATCTCTTAGATCAAAAGGAAATGAACTGTATAATGCCAGATAACTTTGATAAATTGGAATGTTGAACATCTAAAATCTAAGCGGACCAAACAATATTATTGTGTTATTAACAGCATAAATCAGTAATGGTTGTCTTTATGAAAAGGTATTTTTGGACTTTCAGGTTTGGAACTGAACTGAGCACCCATGACAGACACGTCCAGGTTCCCCAACTACCCAAGTAAAAAGGGTACTCCTAAAGTATTATTTGACAAGGACTTTTGACAAAGGACGTAGTCATATCATTATAAATAGGTGGGAGGTGAGGTTCATCCTCTCAAAACAAATTAGTTATTCTTTCCTCACTTTTCCCGTCTCTTCCAACCATTAGTGCCACCTTAGAACGGGCTGCGAAAGAGAGATCCTTCCTCATCTTCATCGTGAGGGTCCATGATCATACAGGAGACTGCCATGTGAAGTCATCCTATCAGCGATCAGAGAGGCAAGCACATAATATCATTCACCAGTTCCTAGAAATTTTGATACCAAGTCTGCAAATGCAAAAGGTATGAAAATCTGGATTTCTGCAATTTCATTCCTAGTTTTGTGGTTTGGGGAAACATCTATATAGGATAAACACAGATATCATGTAAACTGCTTTAATATATCCAAAGAAAACATACTAATATACTGGTAAAGTGTGGTGACTAAAATCCAAATAGTATTTCTGATGCTGTACAAGGATAGTTACTAGGATAAATGACAACATTTAAAATATAATATATTCAAGTTTCAAGTCACCAAGTTATTGAGCATTATGTTCCAAACAGTCCAATTCAAAACTAAGTTCTAAGTTCCAAATTTCCAACGCACCATGAGTGAATAATGTTATGTGGTATCTAGTATGTACTTTGTTTCTTACTAAATAAAGTCAATTAATTGCCTTGTTTGCAGTTCAGATATTCAACATGTAGAAACCTGTAAGAGGAGGGGGGAGAGGTGCTTCTGAGGCAAAATTTGAATTAACCCATATCAACCTATGAATTACAATAGAGCTCTTAGTTAAGACCAAAAATAGGGTATCGTTTTCATATGCCAAGTTTTCTTATCCTCTTCTCTCCTTGTTCCACATCATTTGACATTAGAACCATATTATGCTCTTGGACAACTTTCCTCTTCTTATGACAAATAGAAGAGGTAAAGGGCAATGCTGTGAAAGAATGACTAGATATAAGAAGATAAAAGGTTGAAGGAATTGAATCTCTATGAAATAGGCTGAAGATTATACCATGTTCCTTGAACATCAAGGAACTCCTGGCCATAGAAGTTCCAAGTTATAATTATGCAAGTGACAAATCCAAAGATGTGAACCTCTTAGCATTTAGATGAGTTATGGAAGTGTATGCTATGGAGAAGTTTCTCCATGCAAATGACAATATCAAGACTGAATTGTCAGAGTTACAATACCGATCTCAACCTGAAGAGTTCCCTGATTAGCTTAATGTCACTGAGAAGTATTTTTAGTATAACGGGATACCTAAATATTGAAAAGAAATACAATTACTACAAGAAAATGGATCCTTACATCTCCTGTTAAATCCTAGTGCTGAAATATGAACTTGTTTGCACAAAGTAGATTTGATGAGGATAGTACGACAAATCTCACTAAAAGGAAGAGAAGGTGCACAATAAAAAGCAAAGAAAAACACATCCAAGTGGGATGTTAAGGAAAATGAACTTAACCTGATAGAAAAAGTTGGTGAGCCACACTTGATAAATAAAGTGGGATCTTAAGACTGGAGCTTTCATTCAATACAATTCCCTACAAATATCAATCAAGAACAGGAAAGAAAGAATCAGATGTATCTGTAAAACCATATTCAATTTTAAATCAACAAATCAGACATTTCTGTAAAACCATAGTCAACTTTACATCCACAAATAGAAGTTCACAAAAGAATAAGTAAAAAATAGAAACGAATTCATACGAGATCTTTCACAAAGATATCAACTGCAGAGTACGGTGTATAGTCATTTTCTAACATGTGAGGGACGCGATTCCCAAACATCCTGAAAGGAATCAATGATGCATGATTTTAGTTACTACGAGATACAAGGATAACAATCTAATAAAAGATAAAAACTCAAAATCAGTTTAAAGGACGATCCAATTATATACAAACAAAATAAATAAAACTATGTGATTTTATTTTGAAATAATTATGAACAACTTATATTCATCTAGTACTGACAATAATTTATTTTATAAATTTCAAAAAATCCCAAAATTAGACATCCTAGTCAGTAAAACCATCATCATCCTCAATAATTAAATAATATGACAATGGTAAAACTCCAATATAGGGGCAAAAGCATCATAAGAAATTTTAGCACTGGTGGCATGAAATGTGACATTCCATTTTCTCACAATGGGCTGACACTTAGTGCAGCTGAAATTTTAATACTTGATCAGTAGCATTTTTATCACCTAACCAAAGCCCCATCCCAATAAAAATTGTTGCCAATGTAAGAGGAGAAGAACCAATTTGATGATCAAAATATAGTAGTGAAAATGTAGATGTTGGCACAGCATATCAATGGTGAGAACAGGAAATTGAAATGGAGCTGTTTCATCATTATCAAGCAAGAAAGAGATAGCTCTCCAACAAGGATTGTGCAATAAGACTACTATGTGAGGAAGAAAAATAGAAACTAGATTTAGTTTCGGAGTGACATGATCCCAAATAATTTAGATCCATACCAGCCAATTTTGAAAAATGCCAGCAAAAATGTATCTTTGATTATTTATAATATGAAATTTCCTGAGAAAGTTAAGCTGAAACAAAGAGTTATGTTGACCTTTCCTTACCATATGTGATTGGAAGCAGAACCCAATCGACCCATTTTATTTCACTTATGCAGAAAAGTAATGTACTCAATTCAATGAAAACTTCTAAATAAGTGGAAAGAAAAAATGCAAGAACAAACCATGAATAACCTCCTGCATGCATTATAATTTCAAATAGTTCTCTGGTTTTTAATCCCAGCCGAGCTCCAAATGCCATTGCTTCAGCTGCTGCAGCTATATGAACTCCAGCAAGCAACTGATTAACCATTTTAACAGAACTGGATAGAAAAGCAAAGGTTAATAAGATTATTATCATGATTGAAGATAATAATAATCTGTTCAATTTTAGGCTGCAAATATTACGCTGTCAGCATGACAGAATCGAGAAGACAGAAAAATAAGCTATTCACATTCCCTAGATAACTTTTGATAGAACAGAATCCCTTCTCAATTTTAAAATTTTAATATAAAAGAACTTATTTCTCAAGTTTAATATAGTAGAACTCTTTTCTCGAGGAATAATTATAAATAAATGAGATAAATGTTGAATTATTGAACTAACTTTTCCTATGCATTTCAAATTAGAATGCAATTACCTTGCCGCTCCACATCCACCTTGGATGACATAGAGCTTCTCGCTTAGTGCTGTAATACATACATGTTAAGTATCTGCATCCTTCCAACTATTTCAAAACAGAAAAAGAATGATTCTTTTTCTAACACTGACCAAGTCAAAGAATTATTACCTGAAAGAACATTACCAGTGCTTGAAAGAGCATCATCAGTGCCAGAAGCCATAATCTAAGTATTTAAGAAGAGAAAACCAACAGATAAGAAAAACTTGCACTTGGATTTCCTGATATGCATCATTTGAAGGAAATTTAGTTGACATAAAGGCACCAAGAAGACAAGAACTAAATTTTACCGTGAGTGTTCCTTCAGCTGCCCTTTTAACACCACCTGATACTGGTGCATCCACCAAATTGAAACCTTTGTTTTCACCTATGAGAAAAATGTAGCCTTTTAATGGAAGCACAAAGTATTATGGATTGAAGGCTACAATACAATAACCAGGGTTTTTAATACTATTAGGAATTTAGGATGTCGACTAACATATTCATTTAGATTATCAAGTTCTTACTGGTGTAAGGCTAAAAAATTGGGAGACTCGACTACTGTTGGTTAAGGCTCAAAATATCTCTAAACTCTAAAAAGGCATCATGGAAGCACCTAAATATGAGATGGACCTGAATTATTTTCCATGTGAAGTGGCACAATCTATAAAGCCTTAAACCAGGCATGGTATACAAACACAACATACTACAAAGATGCTGACATGATAAATCTTATGAACCTAACACAAAATGGCAATTAATACATATAATTCTCTGTGCACTGCAATAATTTTATCCTTCATAGCTCATACAATGTTGATGAGTTATGCTCATCACATATCAAATTAATAACAAGCAGTAACAACCATTCATATTGGATGAGTAGGCATTCAAACAAAAAGATTCCTTAATGGATCAATGTATGTTGTCTCTTTCAATGCATTTCTTAATCATTTTCCAGGCTTGCTCCAGACCTAATTTTTCCACTATGACTATGCTACAACATTACGTGTATGGCTTATGGAGCCATATTGGGATATTACTGACCCTTGGACGCTCCTCAGTTAATTTTCATTTCCATCCTACTTTATAAAAGTCTTCTCAAGGTTTCCACCCAAAATGGTACAATATGAGCAGTATTTATCGGTCCAATAACTTACAAGCGGTATTTTATTAGGCCCATAACTTTCTGGTACGAGCACTAGGTAAAGTGGATGGTATGCCTGGTATAGGATCGTACAGGGCTGCTCTGTACCAATGTTTCTTTTTGTTTTTTCAATGTTTTTTAATATTCCGAAACTCAATATTTGTTGGCTATCAAGTGTTGGTACACGGATAAGAATTAATATCATATCAGTCCGAGCCTCAATCAGTACAGTATCAATCAAATGACATTGTGAACCTTGCATCTTCTATTGAGGGGATTTAACAAACTTTAGTGAAAAATTTAAGAAAGATAACTACTTTTCTATTCCTTCGTTCTATCTTAAAGTTGTCTGGGGACAATATCTTCAAGAATCTGAAATGGTCAATATAATTTTTGGAGTTTAAACAAAATTATTTGAGAATCTATTTGCCCTCTAAAAGTTGAGTATTTCTATGCCTTGCTACCAAGGATGGTGTACACTTTCTAACTTTCTATTTAAAATGAATTGAAAATGTCCATATATTCTCCAACTAGCTGATGTCTAGAAGCTTCTCTTCTGAGTTCTTAGTTCTATAGGCCTCCCATTCACCAACATCTATTGAAGTATAGAGGAACAGGATGGCTATGAAATTTGTTGTGCTACAAATTTTTGGGAGAGCTAGTAGTTATGTAATGATATGGGTTGAAACAGAGAGTCAAGCTAGAAATATTATAGGTTAGGCCCTCAAAGAGAGACATGCCAACCCATGCTGGCCAATGAACCACTTACACTTTTGATTCTTTTCTAATTTTAATTTTTAATGTTTGTAACAGTTTTTATTTATTATAAATTTATGTATGTGAGTACATATAAAAATTATAGCATAAGAAAAACAAATTATCTATAAATAAATAAATAATAATTTTAAAAGGATGTTAGGGGTAGATGCAAAAGTATCAGCACAAGTGAGTAGATGGTGCAGTCTGAAATATCCCTAATTTTACCACATTTCATTAGTCATTGTCTCTACATACCAAGTGTCAAGCTGTTAGGACCAGATGGAGAATATTGCCAACACGTGATTCACATTCAACAACTTTTTCATTATATACCAAGTCATCAACAAATATCGAAGTTTGCTGAAGGCAAACAAACTAACAAAGTGTCAATATTGTTAACATGTGATTCACGTTCAACAACTTGTTTGTCTCCTACATACCATGTGTCAAGCTGTTAGGATCACATGGAGAATATTGTCAACCCGTGATTCACATTCAACAACTTTTTCATTGTATATCAAGTCATCAACAAATATCAAAGTTTGCTGAAAGCAAATAAAGTGTCAATATAAAAGAACTTACTCAATTATAGAGAAAAATAGGGGAAAACAAAGTCGGGAATTGATTGATTATATCATGTTCAATATTTGATTGAATATGTATATGAGTATATCCACGGTACAATGAGATTTTGATGCTATATCATAAAGTCATTTTCTCTTCAGAAACACATATTTCAACCCAATGTCAAGGACTTGTGACAAATAGACAACAGAGTAGAGAAAAAATAGACCTAAAGAAGAGAAATTGGATTTGTATCGTGAAGATTGGAAAGATGGAAGTACTCATAGTTGTATTACAAAATATCCTCCGAGCTATGAGTAACTATATTAACTTTTGGAACAAAATACTTAAATACACCTCCAGAATAGTTTTTGGTCGGGAAGGGCATTTGGGCCATTTAACAAGCCAAAATAACAAATCAATCAGAAGGATAAAAATATACACTGAAGAAAAGTAACAGTTTTCAGAAGTTTAACTAGAAACTGAAACAACTTAAACTTTCAGAAGATTTACGAACTGTAAGTTGTAACTAAAAGTCCATCAGTTTGAGCCACAAAATACATTGATTAGATTATAAAAAGTGCATAAATAGACATATCTTCATTCTTTTTCTTACTTCTGTCACAATTTAATAAGACATCTCTAATAAGGCCCACCTTTTAAGCGTTGTTCAAGACCAATCAGGAACCCAGGGGAGACCGTCGAAGAAACAATAATGGTTGCTCCAGAAGGAAGTGCTGAAAATAAAACATAATTAATAATCTCCAAAAGCTCCATTCACATGTGAAATAAATGATCTTTGTTCTAGTATAAGTTATACTTCTTTGCCAACAGGAATTACCTGAAAGAGAACCATCATTTCCATACAATACATTTTCAGCTTGTGATTCATTAGCAACCATGATTATAAGCACTTCTACATCTGAGACATACAAGGTAATCAAATAAATGAAGCTTTCCAGTACTATAATTGTACTATCCAAAAAAAGACAAGGAACATGCCACCTTATATGACAACAGACAAATTAATTATGAGTTATGTGGATATAAATGATTCAATGGGAACAAAGACTTCCAGAAATATTTAGAACATTCAATTTCTGACCAGAAGAATTGTTTTCAGTTTTCTCAGTAAAGACACCTATTGCACCAGTTGTTATGCCAAGTTATCAACTTATAAAATTCTAAAACAAACAATTTACTCTATGAGTTTTATCTCTTACATATGTATCTGATGACCAATAAAATAACAAGTCCATAAGACTCTATGATTGATACTTAGAGTCAAGGTTTGTTGTACCGTACCGTACCGACGTTTCGACCCGGGCTCGGTACGGTATGGTACCGGTGTACCGGGCGATACATCAGGGCATACTGAGCGGTACACCCTGGTGTACCGAATAATTTTATACTTTTTATACTGTAGCAAGTAGCGGTACCGGACGGTCCGCGTACCGATAACCTGTCGGATCGGTACGTACCACCCGGTACAGGCGATACGCTTCGGTATGGCAGACCTTGCTTAAAGTAGATATTTTTATCCTTTCTTGAAAATGGAATGATTAAATTGTGGCAAACATGACATGATTCAGCACCATACATCACTTCAGTTAAAATATTCCAAGACTATATGAATAATGCAAACCTCCTATCATGCTCTATAAATGTGTTTTATTAACCACCTTTCTTTACATTTTAACAAAGCAGAGAAAGTTGAGATACTGTTAACTCCAAGTTGAATGAACTATTATCAACTAATATTTATTGTAACCTGTTTTCTAATCCCAATGAGCATATCTTATGAAACTAGTTAAATTAGAAAATTTGGCCAAGATGTCTCTAAATGCAAAAAACTTGCATGAAGATAGTATTATATTTCTCATGTATGTAGGAGTGAAAGAAAATATTCTCTTGGTAATGATTTAAGACCAAATCATACATTTTGGCCAAAATATCTCATTCAGGGAACAAGAATTTTGTATTTGCTTACCCAAAAGGCTATTTTGTTAAGATGGATGAATGATTTGCAGATCTGGTATGTATATGGTGATTACTACATCCAGAGAAATGAAGGAACACTTAAGGAAAACAAGCTAGAATACATTGATTTAGAAAGGTTTGTGTTCTATTGTTCCTTGCAAAGCACAACCACCGGGAAAGAGCTATGCAACTTGATTTGAGAATACAACCTAGTTCTCAAATGAAGGTAGCATGCTATATTTCTCCCATAAAGAAGCTAGAAGACAGGTTTATTTAATTTAAAATTTTAAATTACCTGCTGGATTGCGTAAACACCAATTCTACTTCTCAGATTTTACGTCTCTAAAGTCTAAACCAAAAAGCGAAGACTATGACAGGCCTTATAGTTAGACTTATGCTGGCTATAGATCCCTTCCTTTTTTGCTCAAAACTGGTACATGGATCATGGTTTGATGTTTTGACTTTTGAGCATAGGGCTCATCATCATATCCCAACATACTTGAGACACGAAGATGCTAGCATGCACCAGCACCACGTAACTTTTTTTAAAATTTGAATGTACATAACAAGGTATACAGTTTCGAATAATACCGCCTGGTACGGGCAAAGCGTACCGATCCGACAGTATACCGGTACACGGACAGCCCGCTACCGGGTGGAATGCTTAAAAGCGCCCCGTATCGAACGATACGGGGTTATATCAAATTTCGATCGTTACCGCCTGACACAGCTCGGTAATGATCGATTTCGACCATTACAGCTTGGTAACAGTGTTCCAACGGTCAAATTGACTGTTGGAGCCCTTTATCATAGGTTTTTAAACTGTTCTTCTCCCCTATTTTACTTCATTTCACTCGCATACTCTCTTAAACTATCTCAAACTCTTTTTTTCTCACATTTGTGCTCTTCTAAATTCTATATAACAACGATTTGTGAATTGAATCGAGGCTAATTTAGAAAGATTAAGAGGAAGAACTTTCTAATCAAGAGATATGCATTCTCTTTCTTTAATTTGAGAGTAATTAAGATCTTTAATAGTATGATTAGAAAATCCCCCTCGATCACAACGTGGCAGGAGTCAAATAACATTAAGTCAAACCGCTCGAGGAACTACAGACACCTAACGGTCACAGTCGTTCGCCCAATGCGCAAAAGCAAAGGGGAAGGCAGTAGCATCAATCACATTGTTGGAAAGAATCGAGTCGGACGACGAGACACCTTCACAATCACATTCAACAACTCGCTCGGTCCAAACACATGACAGCGACACGGACAACAATGCCTCGACGGATGATGGCAGCGATGTTGGGTAGTCATTGGTCTCGTCTACACAACTTGAGGGTGGTGCATAGACCAAGGAGCAATATTTTACACATGTCACCTAAGATTCAGATCATGAAACTCGACAAGGTACTGGTCAAATTTATGAAGGAAGGGAAGACAGTGGATGAATATGAGCAGATGCGACAGAGCCTACATGATGGAGACACAGAAAGAAGCTCATCATATTCACAGCCATCGTACTATGGAGAATCATACGGGCAACAACAGTACGGTGATAGTTGGTCATCCTTCTCTGAGCAACAGTATGATACAGAGCAGCAGATCAGTAGTGAAAGTAGAAGCTCTGACATTCACTAATATATGCCTTAGGAGCTCAGTAGCATATTGGTACACAGTACCGTACTGTACCGAGCTACGCTCGAAACACCGGTACGGTACGGTATTTCAATCATTAGTACACGATATTTTGGAGACACATGCCATATCCATGTCGCCAACCCGACACGCCATCGGATCGATTTGTATTGCATGGTATGTATCAATCTAACGGAAAAATAGAACATGGCATGAATAGTATAAATGTTGAAGAAGTTTCACCAAACTAAGCCTCAGTTCATGAAAGTAATCAATGTTCGCAAAACCACACAAATATCGTTTTGGCTGACCAAATGAATTCTGGTAACTCATAGCTCCAATTCCAAAAGAGTACAAGGTAAAAAATAGATTAGCAAATTTGCAAGATCCAGAGGGTTGTGTCAAAAATTAAATGTTGGAGTTGAACTACGGCAAAGCAACTTGAAAAACAAAACTTAAGATGTAAGAATTCTTTTTGGTGAGAGAATCCTTGCAATTAAACAACTAAACAATTAAATATTGGAGTTGAACTACAGCATAGCAACTTGAAACACAACATTTAATATGTAAGATTTTTTCTTTTCTTTTTTTTGGTGAGAGAATCCTTTGCAATTGAACAACTAAACATAATTGATATTATTGGAAATTATAGGTTCAAAAAATTCTAGGAAATTGATTCTCTCAAAGACAGCTGAACATAGAAAATTAAGACAACAATGTAATAAAAGGCATCTAAGATCTAGGCAATCTATACATTCCAATACTGGATTTGCATATGATGCAGATATCAAAAATACCCTTTGATACTTCCAATGGAGAATCACCTACCCTTTGATACTTCCAATGGAGAATCACCAGTGGTGCCACCTAATTCTGCAAACCGGGATAATGTTGGCTTGTATACCTAATTTACAAACAGAAAATTAAAACCAATTATTAGAAAGATCTATGAGGATAGCTTATACAAATGATGAAAACTTATTGAGTTGCAAGAACATTCATGGATTTACGTCTGGCAGCTGATCTGCATTGTCCGCACAGAGAGACAGTAAAATGAATCACTTTAAATGAGCATAACCAACGATGTATAAGCTAGCAGATAGTACAATGTGAACCTTTTGCATGTCTTCTTTTATTTACAAAAGTATTAGTAACTATATCATGAGTATAGCACAAAACATTCAGAAAACTCACAAAAAAGAACAGCCAATTGTCTATTTGTGGTACATTCATATCATGATCGATTTTCAACAGTCCGAAACACCAATCTAGCTATGTGAATAAGAACTTTGGTGTTGCCAAAAAAAATCTAAAATTTGCTAATTACAGTAGATCCAAGTATCTAACTGATACAGACAACTTCATCACATTACCTTCATCCAGAAAAACACAAAGGATAAGACAATACACAATATGAAAGTTTCCCTCCCACTTCTAGAGAGACATCTCATTATATGGAACAAATATCATTTACCAGGAAATATAATTAAAACGATGTACTCTGATTCAGAAACAACCAATTCAGATTTACATACTTGAAGTTCTAGCAGCATGAAAAATTTGCTCAAAACATAGGAATAAACTAATTATTAATAAAATGTTAAATGTTCAAAATCAATAGAATCCTTACATCATAGGCAATAACATGAAAGTTTGATCTTAACAAATGGGCCGCCATACCAAATCCCATTGCTCCAAGGCCTATAAAACCAATTTTATTCACTGCCTTTGATTTTGGAACAAGTTCATCAGCGAGTTGCCCTGGGATATAGGACTTCTTGTTAGCTGCATCCTGGATATCTACTCCATATATTTGTTCCCATGTCTGAGCAAGAATAGAATTTGAGCTTTATAGAATCAGATGAACAATAAGTTATGAGCATCACATGCAAAAAACCCTTGAGCTAAACTTAAACAGTTTATCGATTGAACACAAAGAATAGAATGACCTTCAATGGTGCAGCAGAAGCATCATCTCCATTTTTACATGAAGAGCCTATATATAATTCATGGCAAAGAAAGCAAGAGTCAGTGTACATGAGGCACTAAGAAAATACTGTTACTTCCTTTAATACCATGTATTAAGTGTTGATGCGCCATAGATAGTAATGGAAGAGGAAAGTTAACGGATTTCGCCATGCCCATCACAAGACCCTATATTTATTTCAAAGAATAAGAACAAATTAACCCAAACCATACAGGTCACTGTCTATCATGGTAAACATGAAGATAGCAGACAAAAAATGAAAACACCAATATCAAAATTTCCATTTTAGAGGTTTTACAATCATTAGACAATATATTACAGAGTTCAAACCACATAAAGCATCTTAATGTTATTTTTGAATCTTCTATCCCAACAACAAAAGATTGATATGGAGTTCAAATCAAATGAAACATGAATATGTAAAAAAAAAAAAAATCAAGAATAAGGTAAGCTGTATCCCTAGCATTAGGCTATAAATGATCATTACCCTAATAATTAACAAGAATTCTTCTATCTGCAGATACAGTTACTTTACAATATTTTGCAAAAAAGAACCCAAAAAAATAAATAAAATTACATAATTCAAATTCCTTCCAATAAAAAATGACATTGTATTAAAAAAATGGAAGTTAGTTCCATACGGCAATCACTTTTGGGTTTGAGAAACAAATAGTATTCTTAGTTTCTTACAACATGATTTGACATGACAATGTCTCAAAACTTGAAATTATAATTATTTTGTAATCCATTGCTGCCATATTATTTTATTAATGCACTACATCAAAAGTCATAAGTCTCATTCTTATGACAACCTCCCAAATAAAACTATGTCTAAAGTGTCAAATTTAATTCATCTTCAACTTTAGTGAGTTTAAATCCATATTTATAATCAGAATATCCAAGCTACATCATTCTCTTCAATTGAGATAAAGTATGATATACACACTTATTTTTACTGCTTGGCTTTTTCCTCTTTCACAAGTAGTCACTGTGAAGGCACACAGATTCTTTAGCAGTAAACCCAAGGTTGTTATATGTAAATGCAAAGCACAAATCACTCAGAAACATCATGGAGTAATTCAAAAACATCCCAGATAGGTAGTAGCCTCATGCCCTAGATTTGCCCATTTTATCAAGCTATGTTAGAATTAGCATGCTTGATAATTCAAAATCATAGCCACAAGCCAGCAAGGCCACAGCTTTATTATTTGTCAAATGGAAAATGGAAAAATTGCATCACTACCATTCGACTGCAACAACCATGTTAACTAGCATGGTTTGAACAGTCATGCTAAACGGCATTACTTAGTGTCATGGCATATTCCTTGCAATAATTTACACAAGCACATCGATACCTTTAGTTAGTCAGATATCAACTAGACAAATAAAAAACTATACAAGCCAGATAAGGGCCTCGCAATCATAAATTCATAGGAATACATAATAATTCCAAGAAGCAAAAGTTTATGCCTATATTATCGCTTATGCACACAAATAACTATGATTTCATTACACATTTGAGTGTAATCTATTCAGCAGTACAGATTTGATATCTTAATTTTTTAGAAAAACTCCAAATAACTAGTGAGAGTTAAAATAAAATATGACGCAAAAAGAGACAGTAAACAGGTTGAGATCCTCACAGTATCTTTCACCAAATTATTCAAATAATATGTGAGTAATTGGTCAGCACTCAACAATTTGGGGATTATATCTACAAAGATCCTGCAAACACAAAATCCACTAATGAAATTACTGCAGATTGGCATAGATGAAATGTAAAATACTAAAATTATTATAGTATTATATTACAAGTTGCTCGGCCATGACAATTTATAAATCTTAGTTTCAATGCAGTATAGTGAAAAAACATTATTGTAGTATAAGCCTAAAACATTATTATTTAAGCTAAAAACCATATTAGTGATAAGAGACACCTAATTAGTGCTTTGTAAATTGTAGTTAGTAACCCTACTTATCAAAAGTTATTGTTACATAAGAATATATAGATGATATCTTAAATTCTGCATCAAATGCTTCATTTCCAACTGTGTATATATTTAAAAAAAAACACACACTCTAAAATCTCATTTTCCCTAGGCGTACTATTTTAGGCATGTCCAACTCCAGTAAATACTATAATATTTATGTGTGGTTTCAAAATTATAATTTAGAGATACTATAATATTTATAACAGTAAATTACAAAAAGAATATTGTATTTCATATCGAGAAAATGCAGTTCGATTATGCTTTTATGTATACTGTTTAAAACAACAACAAGCTGTAAAGTCACAACCTATTTGGGGTCAGCAATATGGATCTTAACCTGCCATTGACATTCCTTTTATCATTTAAGAACATGGTTACGAACTATATGTAAGAATGAATTTTATTGTTTTCATATATATAAGCATATAGTAATTAGTTTAATAAATTTGAGATGGTTGTTCCCAACTGAAATGGACTTCAATTTTTAGTTATTTTTCTCATTTTTTTCAGCTCTTTAATATAAATATATCACAATAGAGAAAGAACCAAATGAAATCAAATGTATCACTTTGGTTCTAGTTGTCAATTGGATTGATTCCTTTAGAGAATACACATCCCTAATTAGATCAAGCCGATCTGAAACTAATTTTTCAAAAAAAAAAAAAGGAAAATACAGATTTTCATCAGTGTACCAAGAAAAAAAAATAATTATATATCATATGCGGCCTCTTCGATAGCCTACAAGTGTAATGGTAGGCGACCACAAAAGTAGTGTTTCAACTGAAGCTCCCTTTCCATGTACCATCTTTCCTAAATGGCATGAACCGAGAGGTAGTCCAATATATAGAGTGCAAGATATCCTTTGCAGTACATTGAAGCAGCATTTAAATAGTTCAGGAAAGGAGTAAGAAACAAAAAATTACAAGAAAATGGCAGAAGATAAAGGAAAACTTGAGAACTAAATTAGTCTTAATCAAGCTTCAACTTACCAGTTCGAGCCAGTGTGTCGGCCGCTGGCCGACATGGCACATGCCGCCCCGTGCTGGTGTGTTGAGTGCCAACACGATGGTGCTTGCCGACAGCCAGAAAAAAAATAAAAAAACCATCCGAAATTACCTTAAAAATAGAAAAAAAAAAAAAAAAAAACTTAGATTAAGGTTAAGTTGGAACTAAATATAAATCTAGTATAATTTCATCAAAAATATTTTAAATTAGGAAGGAATAGTGGCACATATTTTTTTTAGCTCTTAGGAGCAGTTTTGTAGCACATTCTGGCTTTGAGGAGTAGCTTTGTGGCTCACTTCTTGTTCTCTTTCACTGGTGTGAAGAGGACAACATCTCTAGCAAAAGAAAGATCCCCTCGGTCAGAACGTGGCTGCCAAAGCTGAACAACATCGAGTCAGACTACTCGAGGAACCATAAACACCTAACAGTCACAAAATTGGGTGTGGAACTTTGAGAGATATGTGCCACTATTCCTTAATCGTTGTGGCAACTCCTCATTGTCGCAAGCCCAGATGTGAGTGAGAAAGAGTTTGAGAAAGTAGAAGAGTTTGAAAGAGTGAAAGAGGGGGAGAAAAGGTTTAAAAGTCCTTTCCTTTGGTTCAAACGATCGGATAGACCGCTTAAAACAGGGCAATCTTAGCCCTTATTCGGTATCGATTGAAATTCAACCATTACCACCCGATGCAGGTTAGTAACAATCGGATTTCGATCATTCTGCCTAGTACATACCCCATATCAGGCGATATGGGTACCCAACAATAGACCACTCGGTATAAGGTGGTCTGTGTGTCGATTCCCTGTAGGAATAATACGTACTGCCCGTACTACACCATTTCGGGCAGCATGGCGAACCTTGGTCTTAATTATGTCAACGAATATGCTTAAGCTACTAATAATAGTCCCAACTATGGTTTTTAATTGGGCTTTCGGACCTGTACAATCCGAGCTAGCTTGGACCAAGGTTTTTAATTTCGAATGATACTGCTCGTACCGGGCGGTACTGTCGATCAGGGTTGTTTCCACCTCAGGCGGTACCGTCGATTGGGGTTGTTTCCACCCCGGGCAGTGACCGAGGGAGAAGAAAGAAGAGGAGAAGAGTGGTATTAACCAAGGGAAGAAAGAAAAGGGAGAACAAGAGAACCTGGAGTCGACGTTGTTCTCCTTCCTCATCTGTCGACGACTTCTCCTCATCCGTGCGGGGAGAAGAATCCTTTATAT